AAATAACTACTCAATCTCCATTAGTTGTGTTGGTTTTTTTCATGCATTCTATATGACGAAAATTAGTCAGAATAGAAACTTAATACTCACATGGACAAATAACCAAGCATAATTGGATTCATTAACGCCAAAATGCCTGTTGTCCAGCCTTTCAAAAGACACCAAAATGTATTGCAAATCTTCCAAAAATGACATTCCTTGGCAATGGCTTGTGGCTTAAAGTAAACATCAAAATCGTTGGCTGCTCTCTGAATTTAGAAATCCCATTTGTTTAGTTAAAACTTCCATGCTCTCAGAGTTATCAAGTAGGTTTTGAAACCCTGAAGAATCCACGTTCTTATTTTGACATTCATTGTTGTCCTCATCAAGCTTGGCAGCTTGTTCATTTTCTATCGATGGACTGGATAAAAGAAGTTGCTCGAGCATATCATCACCAGATATATCTGGAAGAATAAGCTGGCCATAATTTTCATAAGGGTGGTGTTTTTCATCCAATGATCCCGACAAAAGATCGACATCTCCAAGAAGATCTCTCATTTCCTCGGAAGAAAGATCAAATTCCATTATGTCTTCAAAATTTAACAATGGCATGGTAGATGCAGGCACCAAGTCTCCATTTGTTGGTGGCTGATACCTAACTATCATTCCATCAGAAGGAGCCGGTTTACAATCATCCATATCTTCACTCAGTACATTTTTTCCAGATTCAGGCATTCGCCAGGTATTTTCTTTTGGCTGTAATAACTGGACCAGAAATCCAGGATTTTGCATAACCATCACTATGAAAGAAAGCATCTGCTGTTGGTTCTTCTCCATACCTTTAAGTTGTTCTCTCAAGAGTAATAACTTACTCTGTGAGGTCTGCTGCTGTTGCCTTAGTTTTTTCAGCTCCTGCATGAGAGCATTCTTATCGGTCTTTAGATTTTCGACTTCCTTCCACAGTGCAACTCTCTTGTCTTCTTCAGGTGCAAGAGAATTATCTGTCTCTTTCAGTTGAGAAGTTTTTTGAGAAGATTTTCTTTGCACTACACCATTAGGCTGCTTTCTTCGAGTGATGTTTTTCAGTAAATGCTTCTGGCCTTTGATGAAGGCCTCATTTGCAAATTCCCAGCGATCTGTATCTGTTTTCCTGAAACCCTGGATCAATCCAAGAAACAAGATTAATTTATGTCAAAAAATTTTAAATAAAAAATAATCAGAAGAAGACAACGTCATCCAGAAACTCCACCAAATCTCAGGTTGAGTATTCAAAAGCTCAGTCCAATAAGATTGGGCATATCAAGAATCTCCTAAACAAAATGCAAGGTTGCAACTTTAGTATTCTAAATATGGAAATGTCCCTATACTTCTCAAAACTTTACTAACATTTTTTTT